CTTTCGAATATAGGTCCCGATTTCATCGTTTAAAGGTCTCACACATAATGTTTACTAAAGTCGCAAGGTTGCAGTTTTAGAATTTTCTATCTCATTTTCTGGTTAAGTATTTAATAAAATTCTCTGTACAGTAAAACTGTCCTAATATTAAACTTATTAGAAACTCTTCTTAATTTGTCAGATAAATTTTGAACATTCTTTATAATTACTGAATGTACCAGTTTTTTATCTTTGAAAATTAATTTTATTTTCAGTATTTTCCTCTTTATATTTATTTAATTAAAAATTTTTCTGAATAAAAAGAGTAATAAAAATGCCACAAATAAATAATTATAGGTAGACAATTTTGTTTTCAAAAATTCTATCAACTTTCTGAATACCAACTGATTCATAATATAATATGATCTTCAAAATAATCTAATTTTGCTGGAAAGCATTCTTATTTAGTTTCTGAGAATATTTGCACAGACAGTTCCTATGTCTTTAATATCAATTTTCAGTTTTCCTAATTTTCATTTTTTTTATTATAGTTGTTTTGAAATGGACTGTATTTTTTTTTTACTGATTCAATAGCGTATGACTTTAATGGATGGCAATGAAAATAACTGAGAATATCAAGAAAAAACAATTGGTGGTTTTCTTACCTTTAAAATAGGCGTCTTCTTACACATTCGCACTTAGTACGAGATAGTACTTCATAAGAGAGCGTATGGTTTCAACGAGAGTTACCATTCCAGTCCATATTTCGTGTAGTCGAAACTAGAGGCGTTGAAAACCACAGATTTTATACGGTAATATCAAAAAGAACAAAATATATAAATTAGAGATTCTTAGGCGTAATAATATGTAAAAATAGAATAAAAAACTAAGTAATTAAACTAAATGAAACAAGCTAAACAACCCAATAGTACAGCAACAAATCTTGACCTAAGCAGTTGTCTTCAGAAAATCATCAGAAGACACCAGAAATAATGCAATTTGAAAGATAGCTTACAAATAAATATTTCATGGTCATTAAAGTATGGATATAAATAATGACAGTTATAAAAACTTTGCGTTTTTCGAGATTTAAAAATATGATGATCAGTCAGATTTAATAAGTTTTTTTATCTGAATATTTTTAATATTGTCCCAGCTAATGAAGATATTCAAAATAAATTTACTATTTATTGCCGTTTTAAAAAAATGATGTTAAAGTAGGTAGGTACATTGAAAACTAGACTAATTTACATTATAATGATGTCGATGAAAGTGGGTGAAAATAACGTAGATTCATGAGTTTTGTAAAAATACGTTATACCTATAACGTATGTATTATGTAGAGGGTGTTTCAGTATGACTGAATCAAACTTTAACCACAAAGAATTGCCTTATAAACCGTTTTCACTGCACAGGGCCATATGGGTCGGTTTTTAAAATCATATGATTTTATGAAATATTTGGTATGCTTATAACAAATGTATTCAAATTTGGTGAGGTGTTAACATTTATAATATGTATAATATAAAAAATTTATAATGTTATATATAAATTTAATGTAATTTATCTGTAATTTTACATACCGACACAAACTGGTATATTGCGTCACTTAAAAACGCGATTTATATATAGTTGACCATAGTTGACGTTTCATGCCAGGGTACATAAATAATTTTAGGGTTAATGTTCGCTTTACAAAACTAAATTCAGACAATTGTTATTTGTAATATGTATTCATTTACCTTATCCGTATGTAAACCACTATTTTTAAAGGTTTTAGACTGTTTGAGCCGAAAAAAAATCATAAAATATTTTTAATATACTTTCTAAGACTTATAATGTCTAATAAAAAAATCTGGTGATGATATTACCACTGATAATATTATAAAAAAATGCAGGTAGTTACAAAATAATTAGTACATTTACAGCATTTATTATATTTAAAATTAGCAGCTTGAAATCTACTTTTATACGACCCTTCATAAAAGTTTACAAGCCACGTGACCGCCGAGCTTACGCAACCAACATGGCACGGTTGGTACTGCCAACCGAAAATCCCTAAATCTCGACGTCACCAATATTAATGATTCGTTTACAATGATCAACCGTTGTGTCTACGCTCGAGATAATGCGATCGCTGATTGGTTGAATAGAATCTGGTGAAAAATTACACCAATCATAGCACGTGAGAAAGTATGTTGCGTTTCAATGTAATCTTGATCTTTTTGTTTTAATTTCACCGAAAAAATGCCAACGTGAAGGAGATAAAATTCCTGTTCCAAACTGGTCGCGTGGCTTGTAATCATTTATGAAGGTTCTGTATTATAAAATTACTGAACGTACAAAATTTACTTTACAACGAGAGAAAGCACTACTATTTATTATGTACATAAGACTAAAATGCACCATTGAGGGTTCCGGCTGCTGATATTCAATGTTGTGTCTTGAATGTACCTGATTTATCCTCATGGTACAAATATTTTGTATTATAATTTGTCAGTTACTACGAGATACTATTAATTTACTAGTGAGTGATTTCAATCCTAGAAATAAATAAAATTTTAACCATGCGTTTAACTCGTGAAAAGCAGCTACTTTTGTCTATCCTGTATTTTATACTGTTTATAACAATGCTGACAAGCTATAGGTACATGGATTAAAGAGAAATCTAAGTAACACATGTGAATGTTTTATGCAATGATTCACAACTTCAAAATCTTTTTTTATCCCTAAGCACAAATTATTTTCCATTCCTTGTGTTTCTTTTTATTTCTTATTAATAATTCAAATGTTTCAAGCTACGCTTCAGTGGCAGCTAACAACTTTAGATTAAAAAAAATATTATTTTAAAATAAGTACAAGAGGCATTTTTTTTGAAGAAAATATATTGACCAAAACTTGTTGCTTTTCATGAGTTAAATGCAGGGTTAAAATTCTGACACTTATTTCCGAGACACTCTGTATAGTGTGTAAAGAGAAAATGAATAAAAATGTTGAAAATTGATAAATGTGATTTTTCCATTATAATTTATTTTAGAAATAAGAAGTCCAATTTCGCAAAATCCTTTTATTTTTTAAAAAACAATAGACTACCGGTTTCGAGGTCAAATTTTTCACCTCATCCTCAGGTCCTACAAGATTACAATGTAATATAATTTTTTAAATTAACAAAGTCCATTTATGTTTAATTTTTAACCTATACAATAATTATTAATTTTTGCAAATGTCTAAACTATTTGAATTTGAAAGTATTTCTTAAGTTTTTACTTTTTTAAAAACTGTTAAACCATACTGAATATAAAAAATATAAAATATATTTTTCATACTTACATATCACAATCACAGGAATCAATTCAACAATTTTTAATATCCAAAACATATTAAGATTTTTGTCAAGTTAGATTAAATTTCAACTTTTTAAAATAAACATATGTGAGAAATTGAACTTTTCTTCTTATTATTAAAAAAGTTGTTCAACCTGTAGCCTACATATAATGTAGGTACGAAGAATACCAAAAATAAATATTTTTTTTTGTTCTTTAACGAAACTAATTTTATTTATTATAAAATTGAGTGAAATTAGAACAGCCTGCAAAGGATATCTCTTGTCCTGTTTCTTTTGAAACATTTTCTTCGTCTATGTAGGTTGAAGTGTTTTTACTAGTAGATGTTTTATGAACTATTGAATCCTCCAAAGTGGTTGAATTATTTAAAAAATCGCTTCTACTGTTACTATCTATTCGTGTAGGTCTTGCGGTACTAGGTATATTTCCGATATATGTCTAAATATTCGTTTACAATAAAAAAACCTTTTTTTCTTTGTTTTTGTAGTTGGCAGAGTGATGGGCGATCTATTTCCCATATGTTCAATATCTCTAATATTTATTTGAAGTAATTGATCATATTTGTTTATTTTTTTACTTTCCAATATTGATGTTGCTGTAGACATTCAAAATACTTCTGAGCATCGCTTATATTGACCATAATGAAAGAGATTTCATACTTTTGCTTAATTCAGAAAAATATACTTACCAATAATACATTTCCTGAAAAAGACATATTGTTATTTTCAGCCTGGCATTCAATATTTTTTTATACTCGTATGCTGATATAGCTTCTTCGATTTTTCTGGTAATAAATTAGTCTATTTGCTTTGCTGGTTCAATAATCTGAGTAGTGTGGAAAATGCATTATAACAATGTAATTATACAGTTGACTACTTTACTTTTGCATTTTACAGGTAATAGTAAAAATTACATTGTAAAAGTACTTTTTTGTATTATTTAATCACAAAATGGTGTCATACGTCAGTGTCAGTCGAGTAGAGTTATATTTAAAAAGTAGGGTGAATAAATTTTTTCAGTGTAGAATTTTTTCTAAAAATGAAATTTATTTTATTCTTTACTAATCTATAACAAAAAGTATCATTTAACCTGTACTTAAAAATCAGACACTTAGCCGCAATTTTACAAAATATGTAGAATGTAGTTAAGAAAATAGGGATAATTGGAAAAGGAGTAACTGTGTTGCAGAATTTTCTTGGACATAAATCAAAAGACGGCATAAAGTAAATCATAGAAACATAAAATTAAGAAACCATATATTGCGAATAAATAAAACTAATCCTATATCAATATAAAACAGACGAACTGTTCTGTTTCGTGATTCTCTTGACTTAGCGCCTTTTAGTCTCCGCCTCCCATCAATAAAGTTATAAGCGATGCAAAATAACCTGTCAGACGCATTAAACAGAGACAGATAGCCCAAAAACATGACATATGCACGCATGCTCTTTGAATTACACGCGGGGGCGTGACAGAGCTTCCAAACTTTCAGTTGTTTCAGATAAAAGTCTGACAAGGATGGAACATGCCGCGCGAGCCGCGACGGACGGAGACAGCGCGCGAGAAAGTGGCCGAATATTGCCGATCGGGAGCTCACTCGGCAAAGGTTCAGCATAGCCCTATGATGATATATAGAGTAGTCGACTTATAGTTAAACCGCGTTGGGAAGTGGCCCAGATTACAGAGACTTTACAGCATCAAGTCCTAACCCGATATCTGTACGAACGCTAAGCGCTTAAGACTTTTTAATACTTTCATAGGATTTTGTGAAAACCTCTGCAGTTTGCGACTGGCAGTGATTTGTAAGATATTAACCGCGTCGCGGACAGACAGATTTTCATGACAAGGACTCCGAGTGGATGATTCGGGATTTATTTGTTTTTTTTTTCAGTGGCTTACTGGATTTTGTGAATCGGCCGCTTGTAGTGTAAGGACTGTGATAGACTTTGTGATTTAAGGCTGTATCATAAGAAACGATCTCTTTCGAGTTTTCAACATTCTAACAGGTTTGTGAACATATTTATTTTGCTTTCAATGTTTCAATGTTTTTCCCACAATGTATCCAAACATCCTATTTTTTGTGCTGATACTCTACATCATCATATAAAGTATTCATATCTTTTTCTACAGAGAATCATATTTATTTTGTTTCTTATTAGAAATACAAAAAAATCTGTTATTCCTTATGTATTTTTGCAAATATTAGTTTCAATTCAGAAAAAATATGTTTATTCATTTTATGAGACTTAATTATTAAAGTGTTATGTGGCTTCTCAATCATAATTTCAAACGAATCCAAATCAAGAATTTTCAAATCCCAATTATTCTCTTGGCTCCTAGAATCCCAGGCGCATTCACCAAAATCTCGATTTCCGTCGGATTCCCATTTACGAATATGAAAACGATTTCTAGCGTATTTTCGTTTTATCTGCTAAAATTCCGATACGTTATCGCCCTTTCAGGCTGAAAATGTACCTGCCTTATGACACCGTAATGTAATACCAATTAGGGAAATATTTACAGAATTATCAGGCATTGTGTACTAACAATAGCGTGGAGTAATGCAGAAAAATGAAACGAAAATTAGCGCGCTGTAAATTATTAGTGTTAAACAGACAATTGTAAATCATTTGTTATCTAGGAGCCACATGTGCCATAAAATTTGGCGTACAGATATTCCGTTCTGTTTATTGACAACTTATCTCGTCTGGTAATATTTGTTCAACCATGTTTTCATTTGAATATAATTGGCAATTATAATTTAACTGGATGCACACGATTCTGTACAAGTAAATATGACCTAAAAATTTTAATACCTACATTATGCTAAAAGTATTGTTTTTTAAAAAAAATTTTTTGTTACATTTTCAAGTTTATAAGCTGTGGATACCCTAAAAATTAAAACATTTTCTTTTTTACGGCTCATTTTCTGAGTTCACCTCAAAATTAGAAAATATTTCATTTCAGTAGACATATTTTGTTTTCATTTTATCTGATTCTAATATACCTAATAACTTTACATGCATATAAAAATTAAGTTCTTTGAAATTGCTTTAGAATTTTCCATAATTATTGAATTTGTTTCTTAATAGAGAAAATTAACTATTTGAAATGACAAAATTTGTATTTCATGAAGGTGTTATTATTTTTTACTTATTGAATATTAAATAATACATTAAATATTAGTTAAAAACTAAAAAGGTATCTATGTCTCATATTTACCCTAGTAATAAATACTGCATATTTGACTTGCATGCGAATTCTGATTTTTTTTTGTGTTTTGAAAATGATAACAGTTTTTCAAAATCTACGTAAATCCTCATAGGGATGTGTTTTTAGCTTCTATTTAGCAGCAAACTTTTTCGTTTGTAATTTTTGACCAGATAAAAATTATTATATTTGATTAATTTTTAATTTTTGTTATAAGCAGAAAAACATCTTATTTACTGGAGAAGAAAGTCATTATTAAGGTTAGCGAAAAAAAAATAATCTGAAAATATATTTTCCAAAAACTGTCAAAGATGGAGAAATATAGTTGCAAGTGTTTCTGTTTTCATTGCTTTATTATACTTTTTAAATTTATAAAAATGTACACAAATTAGAACTATTCCTTTAGAAATATAGCTATGCATATTTATATAGGTACCTATATAAAAAAAATTGAAATATTTTATTATTTGTCATTTTTTGTTCTAATTTCTAGGGAAATAATTACAAGCGTTCTCTTTTTTGCAAAAATATATTCACATAAATAAGAGAAAGAGGGCAAAAATTGTACATGACTTTATGTAGGTATAAAAAATTATGTAATACTTATATGATATACTTTCTATATTGTGGTTATTGACCAAGTATTAACCCAAATGTATTAACCCAAAATTTACGAAATAATGCGAATTTACGAATAAATTTATTCATTATTCTAAGTAATTTAAATTTTGAGGCAATTTCGTAGAATTATCAAATGATTTTAATCATACTTTTAGTAGATTTTTTAGCTATTGCAAGAAAATATTTTTTCCTGATTTTTTGTGTACCTATTTGGTATGTAAATTTTAGCTCAAGCTAGAACTTAAAGCTAGTTAAAATCGTACGTTACTTACAATATATTTTAAATAATTTTGGTATTAAATACGTTAAATTCCTTGAAAAGTTAATCATAATTTTTATTAGGACAACGCATGAATTTAAAACTTTTTAAATTAAGTTTAGAAACTTATTTCATTTTATTCGACATTTTCTAATACATAATGAAATGCAAAACGTCTTCAATTTATTTATAGAATACACCTTTCTCGTCCTTGTTCAGTATGGCCCCCCTTTTCCCTAGCAAAAATAATAACAGTCTTTTAATTATTAATACACTTACCTAAAATTTTTAAGGTAATTTATGAGGTTCTACTCACTGTAGATAATAATGAAACATGGAAAACATGTTAATGTCCTAAAATATGGGGAATTTTATATTCACGTGAATAAAATTGACATTAAATGCAACGTCCAAGAGAAAGTCGTCTTTTAATATCATTTTAAAAAGAAACAACTGAAAATCATGTACCTATGTCTTCTTAAATCCATATAATCTATATCTATAATGCCATAAATAATTCGTGGTAACACGGAAATGTTAAAAAGGTTAAGCTATTTTATTTATTAAACAAAATACAAGGCACTCTTGAGTGTTATTTCAGTGTAAAATCAATTATTTACTAAATAAAATTTAATTTAAATTTAATTATTAAGAGTTCTTTAATTTTTTAAATATTCTGTTATAGGAAATATTGTAGATACATCAACACCAATTAATTTAAGAAACCTCATGGGTACCAGTTAAAGCGTAAGAGTAAATTTTGTATATATTTCCAATTATGTTGTGATAAACAAACATCACGTTAAGTAATTTCCAAGTCCTGAAACTATCGAGGCGAACGATCAGAGCGTTTAAAAGTTAAAGAGCACCCTAGAAATAAACATGAAAGTTTAACGCAAGTGCAATTAACGTAACGACACAATAAAAACAAGCATTTAAAACAATGAAGCTTTAAAACTGGTTTGTTAAACCGATGACCAAAGCTGTAAAATCTGCCGGGATATGTAGAAAAGCAAACGGTAAGTCGAGAAATCCGGGTCGATCTGTCGGCCTCATCGCAAAGCTGAAAGACTTAGCTTAACACCCTGGGTCTTAAGTTGGCCCTCAAGCGGTTAATAATAATAATAAACTAATAAACTACTCCTATTTAGGGCGGCATGGTGACAGTTAAAGGGTTTTAAGAGCTAATTTGATGTTGCAACCGCTAATCCTGTTAATTATTGTCAAATATACAAAAATATTTTTTTCACTCTAAAAATTAATTGTTATTGATGTCAAAATAAATGTAAAATGTTTGTTACAATGATGTAAATACATTATATACAGGGTGTCCTTAATTGGACTGGAAAAGTGCTCCAGGATATTCCTTGGTCAAAATTAACACAAAAAGTCAATTACTTATCAATTTCGAGTCCTTACGAAAATGTAAAATCTTGATAACCTGTCGATAATGATCGTTTTTCAGTTATGCCGACTTACTGTTGATGTGACAGTTATATATAATCACAAAAAAAATACTTCGTAGAACTCACTTTTTCATAGTCACCCTGATCGAACATCTTTTGCTTCTTCGAAAATGTAAGTTTTGATTATGTGGCATGAAGGTTGATGGTAATTCGAAAAATTGTTCTTTTTGAAAATTTTACGAGACGATTTTCCAGTAAAATTAAACCTATGTATTATATAACAATTATATCTAGGATAGCAAATTAAAGCTCAATAAATATTGTCATTTTATTATAATATTACTAACACCTATTATCAAACATTAATTTTAATTTTAATATGTACCTACCGTTTTTTATACCTAGATTTTTGGTATTGAAGAACATCGTTTAACAAGATTTGATGATATCATTTAGGAAAATATTTTTTAATCTTTCATAAACATTTGCCCAAGTTTGAGATACAGTTGTGTTATTTAGAAAAAATATATCTGTCCCTGTTCTGAAAAAGCAACAAGGGTGGATTCAATAAAAAATGCTTCTTATATTTATTAGGAACTTTCAGGAAATACCTATATATATCTCATAAATAAATTACTGTACTTTGTGTAATCTGTTGATGTTTTTTAACTACAAAAGTTAATGCTTATTTTATAACCGCAGGTAAACCCATCTAAAACTGACTAAATTAGACAAAAAGTTTGCGTTTTGTTAAATGCTTTCACTACTCCTAGATTAGGGTAATAAAACATATAAGTCGACTCATAATCTAATAAGCCTGTTGCTTATTACGTTTACTATATCTTAAAATCACGAAGGAGTTCTGTAATGTAAATTTTACACCATTTTACAATGTTTATTGTAAAAGGTACAGTAATTAATCAGTATATGATTATTTGACAGAATTACGTGTTTCAAACATTTAGATTACTGCTATAAAATATGATAATTTTTCTAAAGTTGACGATTAGCTAATTTATTAATACTCGTGCTACATTTTTTCTAAATTCATGGATCATATAGATAATTCTAGAAATATACAGAGTAAGTGAATGTAAATCAACAATTATGTGACAGTTAAATACCACTTTTATTATCGAAGTTAAATTGTCATGCAATTATCACAAGCACAAAATACAACGTAAAATTTGTTTGAATAAATTGATTTTTTTTTTCGTAAAAAATGGCAAATAAAATTAAATTGCTTTAATAAAACTGAAAAGTTAAAAAAAATTAGAATTATCCAATTCAAACAAAGATGACTTTTATTATTTACAACTTGATATTAATTTTTGTTTTGCTAAATTTATTAATATTGTTATCCATATCTCTGTCACTGATTAAATTTGGATCAAATAGTTGAACGACTCAGAAAATTATAAAGGGAAAATGATTTTTCTAGATTAAACTTTAAGATCTTGTGTCTTTCGTCTGTTCATTGTACCTAGCCTGTTAACAAAACACCTACTGT